CACACACACACACACACACTCAGACTCACAGCATCCATCAGTCAAACACATGCCCGTCACCAGCAGAAGCAGCGGTGCTCCGTTGATCAAGATCAAAATGAACAAGGGTTCACATGAGAAACTGCAATTTCAGTGCAAAGCTTAAGTTGAAAACTATCATATAAACTACACTATACGCAGCATGATATGTGTGGCCCTGGAGCACAAAACCAGTCATAAGGGTAAATTTTTTGAAACTGAGATTTATGCATCATCTGAAAGCTGAATAAATAATCTTTCCATTGATGTATGGTTTGTTAGGATAATATTTGACCGAGATACAACTATTTGAAAATCTGGAATCTGAGGGTGCAAAAAAATCTAAATATTGAGAAAATCATCTTTAAAGTTGTTCAAATGAAGCTCTTAGCAATGCATATTACTAATCAAAAATTAAGTTCTGATATATTTACAGTAGGACGTTTACAAAATATCTTCATGGAACATGATCTTTACTTAATATCCTAATGATTTTTGGCATAAAAGAAAAATCTATAATTTTGAGCCATACAATGTATTGTTGGCTATTGCTACAAATATACCCCAGCGACTTAAGACTGCTTTTGTGCTCCAGGGACACATTTGGGTGAACATACTGCAAAAATTGTTGTTTATTTAAGTGGAGATGCAAAATGACATGAGATGAAAAAATCTTGATTAAACAGACATGGGTTTATTTTTCTGATTGCATTGGCAGATATTTGATTTAGTTTTAGGCATGAATTTTAAATTCTGATGAATTTCTATGTCCTTTAGCATTTTATCAAATATATCTTTTTTTATTTTTTTTTTTAAAGAATGTTAAGATACTCAGTTTTTTCTTTTTCCAGTACAAATAACTAAACATTCTTAAATCAGCCAGTAATATCCAGTAAATGTGTCTTCATTTAGGAATATTTAGATATTTGCACTGTAAAACAAGACAGAAAGAACATCAGTTCCTGCAGTGTATGAGCTGCACAATCCTCAAAAGCATGTTTAACTGATTTAAAGCAGAAGTAGAGCTTTAGTTGAAGATGAATGTATTCATATAGTACAGTACACAGCATGTTATATTGTGCTTGTGTGAGGGGAAACTATCACATCACAGCAGCGTTACATCAGCAACCACAAACAAAAGCATGTGACAGACTGACGGTGATCAGAAACGACACGATCAGTCACGCAATAACATCCGCTCTTCTCCATTAGCGCGGCAGAGAGCGAGCGAGAGGTCAAAGGTCAGCGCCCGCTGATGTGCGACGCTAAGTGGCAGTAAACACAGGAGCGTCGGTTCACTGTGATCCAGCGCAGATCCACACAAAGCCATTACATTACCGTCGGGTGAGAAGCACACACTCTCCTGTGTGTAGATCTGATGGGAAAGTGTGTGTGTTAATGCTGTGTACATTACATGAACGTGTGTGTGTGTGAGAGAGAGAGTGTGAGAGTGTGTGTGTGAGAGAGAGAGTGTGAGTGTGAGAAGAGAGAGTGTGTGTCATACAGCTTTATGGATCCTCAGGCGTGTTGAAAGCCAACAAAAGCCCCGTTGCTGAAGAGGCCACACAAGATGCTCACACACACACACAATATCAGACACACACTTTCCTTCTGTACTGGTAAAGACACACGTACCTGATCACACACACAAACGCCAAGCTGTTCGCGTGAATCCAATGAAACGAATCAGCTCTTATTTCACCCCAAAATCAAAAGAAACAAAGACATTCTAATTTGCATAATGAACACAAAGCCTATTTTAGGACCATTGTAACATTTATTAATGACAATTAAACACATATCCTACCTAATTATTGTTACTGTAATATCAAAATAAATAAATTATTAAAAAAAAAAAAAAGTAATAAATATAAAAAAATAAAGATATGTTATTTAATTTGCACAGTATTTACACATCCTGGTCTCTGTTGTACTGCCTTTAAATTACTCTGATTAAAATAACTGATCATTGTACAGTATTTATTTTTGCTGACTGACAGTAAACACATACCAAATTCCAGTAATCTAATCTAATTACAATCCCCCATATACTGCGTGCATGTGTGATATATATATATTAGGGCTGTCAGTCGATTAACATTTTTAATCTAATTAATTACAGGGTGCTGCAAACTAAATTTGGCTGTGAAAATACTCCCAAAAGATAATTTAAAGCTATTATTGTGTTAAATGTTTAGGCTACAATGGCTTAACAAAGTATGGACATAAAAGAAGATAATTTGAGAAACATCTCAGTATTTTTTGTTCATGCAATGAAAGTCACTAGTGACCTAAACAGCTTAGTTGCCAACAGTCTTCAAAATATCTTCTTTTATGTTGTGCAAAAGAAAGTAAGTCATTTAGGTTTGAAACAACATGAGGGTGAGTAAATTACAGAATTTATTTATTTATTTATTTTTGGTGAACTATCCCTTTAATGTTTTTTTTAAATAAATGAAATGATATGCTAAAGAAGAAACTAAAACTACCAGCAGGTGGCGGTAAAAGTCTTTATGACTCGATTTGTTCAAACGGCTGATTCATTCAGGAATGAAGTAAACGGCTCTCTTTATGAATGGGCTGCTGATTCATTGATTCACATGATTCGTTCAAATGGCGGATTCATTCAGAAACTAAACAGCGCTGTGTTGCTCGGACGCACAACAATTCTGCTGCGGCTTTAAAGGTAATATTTTTGTTGGCAAAATTGAACAAAACGCACAATATTAGGTTTAAATTTTGCACAATATTAACTTCTTATTTACTGTTGTATAAAATCACATTTACACTGTTCTTCGTGACAAAAACAGCACTGGTGTGATATCGCTTATCATATGATATAAATATGAGACAAAAACTCATACAGGGGGCATTTTTTTGCCCCAATATCTTGAATTTTTAGGGCATAACTGCATTTAAGGAGTTGTTGTCCTGCATTATATTTGTATGAAATGTAAGATGACGTACAGGTCTGGGGGCGGGGCCAGTGCGTTAACTGCGTTAAAATATTTTAATCGCGTTATTATTCATTACTAATTAAGTTAACGCATTAAACTGACAGCTCTAATATATATATATATATAGTATTTTTATTTTTTTACAGTCATACCAATAAAGCAACTTTGAATTTGAATAAGAAAAAGAAAAAATAATTCCTCGCTAAGAATTCCGTGAGAACTCGCTGAGACGGTGTTAGCTTTCACTGTTATGCTGATGATACTCAGCTCTATATTTCTTCACGGCCCGGCGAAACATACCAATTTGAAAAACTAGCGGAATGCATAGTCGATATAAAAAACTGGATGACGAGTAATTTCTTACTGCTAAATTCTGAAAAAACAGAGGTGTTAATTATAGGACCTAAAACCTCCGCATGTAATAACCTAGAACACTGTCTAACACTTGATGGCTGCTCTGTTAATTCTTCGTCATCAGTTAGGAACCTAG